TGAGTTGTTGGATTTCATTAAGGCCTGTGGGTGATTATTAAAAGAATGAGTACCTGTACGATCCTTGCTTATCTTTAACACCGTATTGAAATCTCCAACTATAATATTTTGGTTATTTTTTAGAGAGGAGATAACTTTATGGATCTCCTCGAATTTTTTTGGATTATCATCATTTGGCCCATAGATATTAATGATATTTGCGTATAAGTCATCCACTGTCACCTCTAACATAATCCACCTTCCATCCTCATCCGTTTGTACAGAATGAACTAAGTGTTGAATTGATTTTTTAAACATAATCATAACACCCCTACTATTAGTAGTGCCATGACTGAAATAAATATCTCCACCCCATTCTGATTTCCATTTCAACTCGTTTTCCAAATTAGAATGCATTTCCTGCACACAAATAATTTTAATATTGTTTTTATCTTTCAACCAAGTAAAAACTTCATTTCTTTTAGAGACATTAGCCAAGCCGTTACAGTTATAAGTTGCAATCGTAGTACTAGTACACGTCATGTATCATCTAAAATGAGTGATATAACTTTGTCAACCTTTTTAAATACTTGATAGGGACCCAAAAAACTGTAAACCTAAAAAACATATAACACCTACTCCGTACACATAAATTACAAAAACAATATAACATGCCTGTATTTCATTTGCCATGGAGTTAATTGGCATTTTTGCGGTCACAACCCCTTTCAATGTACTTTCTACATATATATATCGAAGAAGAAGAAGATGGGCTTAAACAAAGAGAATAATCCAAAAAATGAAGCAGAAAACAAAAACAAACATTCCATGCCGTAAAGGGTTTCTTATCTAATAAGGAAAACATAAATAAAACCTCTAACCAGGCTCATGACAGAATGACTACTTTCTTTTGGAGTTAATGAGTCAAAGTGAATCGAGCACAATGCGGATACCAAATGCCAGAAAGATCAAAACACATTTTCTTATTACTTCGGTGAGAAAGACCTATCTCCAGTGAAATGAATGAAACTGAGTGCTCTGTCATTAGGTAATGGAGTTTAAATGTACATGCTGACTAAATAGAATTATAAGTGAATTGACCCCCAGCCCTGAAAATTACAAGAGAAAGAGTGAAGGAGGCCTCGTTTGACTTCATTAGAAAAAGGTGATCCCAATTTATTTCTAGTTAACCTCAATCTAGCCAGGCGACTTGATTAAGGGTAAGAATTTTATTTACAAGACTGACGGATAACCTTCAAAAATCGATCACCCTGCCTGATTACACTTATTACTCTCCTGAAGCCACGAGGAATCTCATCAGTGTCTGTAGAAGCTCTTGATACATTGACTTTTCTCCTCCTGCAGGAGCTTGTGGTTTCCATGGATGCGTGTGCGCTTTAATTAACTGATTCCTGTAGCCCCTCTTAGAGTTCAGGGTCAGTTGTTATTAGCAATTAAAAAAAAAAAAAAATCTCGGGCACTTGGTTATAGTAAGAAAAGAAAAGACAAAAGGCAAATTAGAGATATAGGATATTGAAAAGATAAACTGAAAAAGTTTTTCTTCTGTCAAATGTTTTAGCATAATGGGGCTGGTGTTGTTTGTGATGTGAGATTTTAGGGTGACAAAGTACACTTGATTTGAACTATTGTTTTCCTTTTACATCAGAAACAAGCATTATTTTGCTTAAAAAAACATCCAAAATGTCATGAACCATAGGCCAAAAAACGATTATGTTTTGCTCTTAGTCCCGTCCAATATGTCTGTAATACAATCATAACTTGAACAGAAAGTGGCAACTGAAGCACAAAGGAGCTCACGATATCTATTTTAAATAGATGGTAGTAGATGCTTTTACTTGGTAAGATATATTTCTAAAATATAGACATAGACTCACCTCTTATTATATTGATGATATGCTGCTAATAAATGCCAATGGTAGAGCTCTAAGAACAATATTTGGGTATTTATATTACTGCTATGACCTATATATATTTCATATATTAGAGTCCCTAAAAACGTTGATATGCTTTTTTCAGTAAGAATGATTTGCTGTTCTTTCAAGGTTTTCCATTTTGAAATGTTGAATTGGAACTTGGAGCTTGGAGATCGCTGAATGCAGGCTTCTTGTGTGAAGCGATGGCAGTCATTAGAGTCTAATAGAACCTTCTTGATGTAAGGTAACCTGCTTGTCTTCTTTGGATTGAGGATTGGTTTTGATGTGTTTTTCAGTCGATGATTAGCACAGCCTTTAGTGCTGTGTGGGCTTCTAATGGCTCTTAAAACCCCAGTAGTTATTGAGTCTTTTAAGAGTCCCCTGGTGTAAGGGCAGGCTGGCAGATCTGGTGGGTCTTCTGGTCAATGTCAATGATCAGCTGCAATGCTGCATTTATTCTCAAGGTTAGATCTAATGTACGTACAACCACAGAAGCATAAACTTTTATTGGACTTTGGATTTACTGCTTCAAGGTTGAAACACAAAGTTTTCGGACTATTCCCACATGGTGGGAGCAGTGTGGTGAGGTGAAACCTCTTCTTAAAATCGTGCATGACCTCAAACCACCAGAAATAGTTCACTGAAATAGTACATAACCACAGAAAACACCATTAATGATCAGACTGATTAATTTTCTGATGCAGCATGTTTTGATGTGAGTAATGCGGAATGGCCCTTTAGTGTCCCCAGGTAAAGTCAGCCGCTTTGCTCCTCTTTTCTACTGCAGCACCAGTCAATGACAACGATTAGCTTTGGTATAGCCTCCAGTCCTGTCTTATTCCTCAAGGTGATTTATAGCCTAGAGCAGAGAACAGTGTGTATGTAATGTTACGGGGCATTGTTAAATGATGGTTGAAATGATCAGATTTGATCTGAAATGTAATACAGCACGTTATGACAGTTTAGATACCGTATTTAGTACAAAATAAGTACATACTTCCTGGATGATCTAATGAACAAGACTCAGTCAACAATAAGATCATTGACAACAATTTGAATTATTATTTGAATAATTCATTAAGCAAAACTGACACACTGTTGTGTTGAATTTGAGGATATTCTACTTTTCTGAGTTCCAATACATTGTAAATTAAACATATTTTTGTTTAGGATTAAAGTTGGAAAAAGAAAGCAATCACATTGGCCGTGGGGAATTTGTGATGGGCATATTTAGAGATATTGTAGACTAAGATATCAATAGATTTGTTTCTCAAAGCATTAGATGAGGCAACATTTGAAAGTGAAGATACTTTTTATTAACAGCCTTGTCCACTTTTAATTAAAAAACTTTCATTAGTATATTTAAATGTTTTCTCCCTGCGATGTGATTGTTTACTCAAACAAGACAAATTAAAGAAAACATTATGTAAAATACTAAAACATAATATGTTTCTAAGTAAAAGTCAATATTTTACAGAACAGAAATCCATTGAGTTTGAATGGTATTGAAAGCAGGTTCACGCACAGACATGGTAATCAGGAAGTCATGGCTCCTCTTGCTCCCTCCTCCTACTTGACCCTGTGTTGCCCTTTTCCTCACTTTGCTCTACTTGCATCTCCTCCATATAATATCTCTGCCTTCCTCCCACTCCCACTCTACTCCTCCACTGCCCCATGCCCCCCCAATCTGTACCCCCTCCTCCTATTTCCTCTCACCCTTTCTCCCCGTCTTCTCAATGTCTCTCTATCAGGAGGAGAAGAGAGGCTCCCCAGAGGGACTGTGGTTCGTTCCCGCTGCCGCCTACACTGGCTTAATGAGGAGCCTGCGGGAAGGGGTGAGTGTCTCTGTGTATGTCTGCGTGTGTCTGTTTTTGTGCCTGTGCCTGTGTAGCTGTGACTAAGTCTCTCTCACTGTGTGTGTGTGTGTGTGTGTGTGTGTGTGTGTGTGTGTGTGTGTGTGTGTGTGTGTGTGTGTGTGTGTGTGTGTGGGGCAGGGGATCCCTGTGAACAGTAATGATGAGGCAGCTGTGGGGGCCTAAAGCGTTGTTTGCCAGCTGCAAGTCAAGGGCATGCAGAGCAGTCACACACACACACACACACACACACACACACAACACACACAACACACAC